ACCAATGTTTATCTCGGCTACGGCCGTAGTGACTCCGTGTCACCCATTTAATCTCGGCTCCGGCCACAGTGACTACGCGTCACCTATTTCACCTCGGCCTCAGCCACAGTGACCGCGACACCAACTTTACCTTGGTCCCGATCACTTCGACCTCCGTTGTATGGCATCCAAGCCACCAATGCTATCCTACTTTATCAACCACACCACCACTCAACCCTACTCTTATTAGCCACCCTTCCCATCTTCCCTCCTATCATTCACAAGTGAATGACTTCGGGGGGGGAATAGTGTAAGGGCAGCCATACGAGACAAGGCAAAGCGCAGAGCTCAGAGCTAGCCGTACCTCGGCTGCAGAGCTCAGAGTTTATCGCACCTCGGCACTTCGCCGTGGGTGTATGACAGCCACAATAGGCACGCCCCCATCTGATCGTTTGTCCATATCAGAACACCCATTCTCAAGGAACCTGCTCCGCCAAAACGCACCATGCGCATTTAAGGCGGTTGCTTCGTTAAGGCACATTACACTCACCTAAAACGTCTAGTCCGTCAGGCGCACCATGTCACCATTATTGGATTGACTAAGCCACGTGGGTGTGGACAAGCCACGTGGGTGCCTTGCCAAGCGGGACAAAGCCCACAAGGTAAGGCTCGATAAATAGGCGGAACAAAAAGAGGAAGGATGATCAGAAAATACTGACTTAAGCATCGGAGTTTCTCCTCGAGGACCAACCTCGGGATTTTGCAGGACCATCTGGAGAAGGATCAACTCGAAGCAGGAACTCAAGGATATTCAGCAACTACAGTGCCCTATTCGAGTTTTGATAAGAACGTGTTGTCAAAATTCAATAGTTGAGGCGGCTGGGGACATAAACTAGAATAAGTCCACCACCTAACACTACATGTTTTTTTGAACGCAAGGGAAGCAATGCATTAAGAGCTACCATACGGCATCTACATCAAGGTTTTATCCAAAGGGATAAGAGTATCAGATAAAGAACAAACAAACTGGAGAAACAAGGCAAAGTAGACCCAATGCAGAGGAGGAAGAGAGGTGAAGACACTCGCGCAATCTGTGGTCGACCGATCCAGCGATGGGACACCCTTTAATCTACTCGGGAGAGGATGGTGCGAAATCTCCAGAACACCGCGGCAGGGATCCAAACCGGCGGTGACCAAATCTGAACAACCAATGAGAACACTACATGTTTGGAGCACAGGATTTTAAGGATGAGAATAAATTAGATTAGATAAATGAATAATGATGTGTGTATAATTTTATTTTTTTAATATAAATTTTATATATTATTAAATGAATAGATATATATATAATATTATAAATTTTAATAAAATAAAAAAATTAATTATTTAATAATATATAAAGTTATACATAAAAATTATATAAAAAATTATCTTCTAATTATTCTCTTAGATAAAATGAAATATTCCCTCATTCAAACTTACTGGGCCTAGTTTTGTTTATGTAATAAAATAAAAATGTAATAGATAAAAATTTATATTTATTTTAAATAATCACTATTTTTTAATTTAATATATATTATAATTATTTTTTTAAAATAAGAGTAAAATAAAAATAATTGTATTAAATGACATCTTAAAAAATAAAAAATTAAATTTAAACATTCAAAATTACTAAAAATTAAGTTTACTAAAATTAAATAAGTATTTTGACTCCAATATTATGTTTAATTGATTACTGAGGTAAAAGAAAAATTGGATAAAAATATTAATTTTTATGGACAAAAATATTCTTGTATTACAATTAAGCCTAATAAAATTTAATTTTAATTTTATTTTCAATAATTAATTTGCTATTAATAATGAAAATAATTGAAACTATTTAGCCATTTAACACTAATTAACCGGAGGCAAATGCACCAAAATTTCAGTACATTCATTAATTTTCCTTTATTTTCTCCAAAACCAAACAGTCCATCGAAAAATGAAATTCTCGTCAATTGATAATCCAAATTAATGAAAACAGAGCAAACGGTCCATTTCTATGTAGTGATATTAGATTTTTTTTTAGGTTATATGTTCAAATCTCATAAATTTTTGTTGTTGTTAATTTATATGTAAATAATTATAATTTGATAAAAAAAAAAACAAAAATAGAGCAATTGTAACGAATTGACGTCACTACATCACCAATAAAACAAATTAAAATTTCAATAGAATAATTCAATAGATAAAAGTTTAAAATTTTAAATAAAATATTTTAAATTTAAATTTTAAATCAAATAAAAAATTTAAAAAAAATTTATATAATTCATAATTACCAAATATAAAAAACCAAATTAAGAAGAAAAGACAATGGCGGCTGCAGCACGGCAACCTCACTAACCCCTTGCCTTGATTTATGAGTCTTTTATCTGAATTAATTCAATATTTATCCCATTTCAAACACCCTCCAAACGAAAGATGAAGTGGACGAGACAAACTTTTTATCCTATCCCATAATTTGTCCGGATCCCAAACGCTCCTATAGTTGTCCACTAAATCTATATAAGAGTATATATGAAGACAAAGCCAGGGTCAAATATTTCCATTTTCAATTTTGCCCCCCAAGATTAAGATAACAATAACATGGCAGAGCATCATGATGAGATCAAGCAAAGGCATTTTGTTCTAGTACATGGGCTATGCCATGGTGCCTGGTGCTGGTACAAGCTCATCCCTCGGCTTCAGTCGGCCGGTCACCGAGTCACAGCTGTTGATCTTGCTGGGTCCGGAACCAATTTGAAGTCAATCGGACAAGATGTTCTCACATTTGATGAATACACTGAACCATTGTTGAAGATATTGGCTTCACTTACTCCTAATGAAAAGGTAATACTAGTGGGACACAGCCTTGGGGGTCTCAATTTGGCCCTGGCCATGGACAGGTATCCGGACAAGGTTTCGGTTGGTGTTTTCTTGACAGCATACATGCCGGATACCACAAACCAGCCATCTTATGTCATTGATCAGGTATGTATATATACCTTGTAAAAAAGTTGTTACATAAAGTTTAATTTATTGAAAATGAATGATTATTTAAGTGCTGTTGCATTCTTTGTTTTGATTGTGAAAGCGTTTTGAGGGTGTCACACAAGAAATGTTGTTGGATACTCAGTTTATTTCTCCCGGAAGCACCCAAAATCCTCTCTCCACCATGATTTTTGGCCCAAATTTCATGTCTAATTGGCTCTATCACCTATGCTCAATGGAGGTATAACTCTCTCTCTATTTTAGATCGATCTAGTACTAGTATTATCTTGAATCAAATTTGTGTGTATCAAATTAAATTCACCTCTTCATATAATTATTTAATGAACATAAGTAATTTCTTCCAAACAATTTGAAGGATGTGGAACTAGCAAAGACCTTGGTGAGGGCAGGGTCGTTATTTCAAGAAGATTTATCGAAGGCAAACAAGTTCTCAGAACAAGGATATGGATCTGTGTCACGCGTATTTGTTGTGTGCAAGGAGGATAAAGCCATAGATGAGACGGCCCAGCGCTGGATGATAGAAAACTATCCACCTGAAGACGTGATGGAGATTGATGGTGCAGATCATATGGCAATGATGTCAAACCCACAAGAACTTTGCGATTGTCTTTCTAAGATAGCCAAAAAATACACATAATTTCGTATGATGGAGACTTCTTTACATTTGATGCAACTACTTTATGTTAGTTAATAACAGGTGCAACATTTTAAGGTCCATGAGATCATCATTACCTATATTACTTGGGTATTCTGCCATATGTATACATATTACTAGTATGACTTTCGAGTTTCATTCATAAAAATTTTGAAGTTATGGCCCACGCGTTTATTGTTCTTGATTTGACTATTTTATGTTTGTCTAAACTGGAAATTTTCAGAAAATGAGTTGTCTCCTTATTAAATCTTTGAATTTTCTAAATTCTATATAAGGCAAGAGCAGCATTCAAAAGTACCTGTGCAAAGAGAACATTAACATGGCAGAGAATCAGACGCAGCAGCAAAAGCATTTCGTTCTAGCACATGGAATAGCCCATGGAGCTTGGTGCTGGTACAAACTCATTCCTCTCCTCTGGAGTCTGCAGGCCACAAGGTCACGGTGCTTGACCTTGCAGGTGCCGGGATCAACTTGAAGGAAATTGGCAAAGATGTTCTTACGTTCCATGAATACAGTGAGCCATTGTTGAAGATTTTGGCCTCATTGCCTCCTAATGAAAAGGTCATAGTCGTAGGGCATAGCCTTGGCGGCATGAATTTGTCTCTGGCTATGGACACCTTCCCGGACAAGATTTCAGTTGCTGTTTTCTTAACAGCATTGATGGCAGATACCGTTCACAAGCCATCATATGTCTTGGATAAGGTGAATTTATCTTCCCATAATTTCAGGTTTAGGATAACGCTAATCCAGTACATTATAATCTAATTAGTGTATATACCGTTTATTTAATTTTATGTTCCCTGTTAGTATTTTGAGGATGTCCCAAAAGATATATTCTTGGACACACAGTTCACACCCTCTGGTACCACTGAACATCCTGTCACCTTAGCAATCTCCAGACCGAGATACCTTTCTTCCAACCTTTACCAGCTCTCCCCCACTGAGGTACCTCTCTTGCTTTCTTTCTTCTACATTATTACCTGTGTTGTACATATTTGGATACATAATATGGACAACGATTAAATTCTCTGTGTGAAGGACTTGGAACTGGCAAAGACATTGGTTAGGCCAGGATCAGTGTTTCAAGAGGATTTGTCCAAGGCAAAGAAGTTCTCTGATGAAGGCTTCGGATCTGTGACCCGAGATTTTTTGTGTGCGATAAGGATAGATCAATAAGCCTTAAGTTCCAACGCTGGATGATCGAGAACCACCTAAAGATGTTATGGAGGCCAAGGGAGCAGATCATTTAGCAATGTTCTCAAAACCACATGAAGCTTGCCATCGTCTTTTGGAGATTGCCAATAAGTATGCTTGATCAAAAATAGACTTCTAAGTTCTAAATTCTAGTGTAAAACCTCTTGCATCACTAGATATGTTAATAGTGATTAAATAAATAAATGTTTGTAATGTATTTTACATTTTACCCAAATAAATTCACTAGTATAGTTCTGTTATATGACTTGGTTGGAACACGAAATGTGATAGGTGGATTTTTTTTTTTCTTTTATATATTTGGGATAGGAGAATTCGAATTTGAAACTTTTTAGGATCTCATCAAATTCTTAACTACTAAATTAATGTCTTACTGACACCTTATATGGGATTTTAGTTTTAGTTGGCTCAAGATTATAGATTAGCATGAATATCTCAATTCAATAATTAAAACTATGGAGTTGATTTACATACAATAATACGCTTTAGATACAGCATAACTACAAAGAGACAGACACTTAATTGTTAGTACTGATTATCACGAATTTGAATAGTCAGAGCTGAGGATAACCTTTTCCTCGTCAACAGAATTGTTTTGAATCATCCACCTTTACAAGTTCTTTGTCATGTTTACAAAGGATGTACACCTAATCCACCAATATTCCATATTTCTCCTTGGTGGTGAGCAATGACACATTCAGGGATGCTGCTTCTTTTACAGAGAATTCACTAACACTGATACAAGCATTAAATCTTGCTTATATCAAGACCTATTCCATCTAATAGTTTATGTAATCCAATGCAATATGCAAAATACCTTTTTTTAAAAAATATTTCTTCTTGCTGTCACTGCTACCATTTTCTATTGAAAATTTTAGCTTCATTTACAGAACTACATTTGACTTGTAGAAAAAATCCCAGACACAAGTGGCAAAGTATGATGCTTCATGTTCCTCTCTCTTTAATATTTCCTTTTTGAACTGATTGCTGTTTTTCAGAACATGTTTATTATTTTAAGGTTGAAAATGTCTATAGGTGTCTTATTCATCATTTTACTTCAAAATAATACCTATCTAATTGATGTAATGAGCTAAATTATGTAGAAAATGGTCTATTCTCCCAGTTTGTATATTTAAAGATGACAATGGCAAAAGTTTGAAGCCTTAAACCCAGAATTCGCTTGTTTTTGAATAAGGGAAAAAAAAAAAAAGGAAAAAGGAGTCTTTAGAAAGGAAAAACGTGTTGGGTGAAGGGTAGCTCTATCTGTTCTTTTAGTCAACTCTCAAATTGGGTTTTAATCAGACAGCAAACAACAATATCAAATAATAAAAAAGAAAAGAAAAAGAAAAGACAACATTAATTTAGAAAGGCATTATTCCATGGATCCTATCTCTGAATTAATGTATATTAGTACCATTTCTAGATCAGAAGTTAATTGACCTTCAGGCCAAAGTAATCTTGTTCTGAACAAAATGCTGCATCAAAACACCAATTGGACCAGCAATAGCATCATGCATGACATTTTATTAATGAAAGCATACGGTTATGATAAGTTGATAACCCAATTAAATATATTAGCTGTTGTGGGGCTGCTATGTCCATATTATTTGAAAATGGTTTCACATGTCCAATACAATTAAGCAAACAGGCTGATATTGCCAACCTACTAGAGTTTAGAGGAAGGCTGTCTTTTCTTTTCTTCTTTTTTTTTTCCTTTGGTTTTTTCTTGTTCCAAAACCAAAAAAGCAAAAGATTTTTAAAGTGTGGATAAACAAAGCTCTGTTGCTACTTATAACTGCTGTCATAGGAAAAGCTAAACACCCACTATAAAAAGGCCTTTTACTTTACTTCTCTTGCACTTTGGTGCTCTAATTCTGTAAACATCTTTATGGATTTTTGAGTTTTGATATTGGTAGGGCAAGAATCAAAATATTATGAACCCAGAAAAATAATACAAAGAACAAAACCCTTCGGATTCCCTCCCCTTAAGAGGTGGAGCAATGCAAAGAACCCCAAACCTGACTCAAAAGAAAAGGGCCAATTAGAGAAGATTATAGTTACCATTTGAAGAAGGCAGATGATAGATTTGGTGAGAAAAAAAGGATCTCTTTCAATCCTTTTGAAAGATGACTTACTTTAAAATAGGAAGGAGAAGCAAAAATTGAAAAAACTTTAGAATCCAAATTTGAACATTGAACAGCTATGGCATTGCAGGACAACACACATGCTTTTACTAGAAGATAGTTTCAAGTTCAGAACAAGACAAATCAAAAACAAATTCAAGTCAACCCTCTGAAGAGTTGACGGATAGCTTATACAAACTGTGGTTTTCTTCAAGGAAAATTAATCTTCATTTTAATGAAAATTTTCTCATCGGCCAAACAAAGTACACGAGCATTACGTGGATATATAGCACGTGCATAACGAACTTGTATTATTGCTTAAAGCCAGCCTATGATCCTGATAACTCAACCACTTGTTAGAATTACAGAAACGCCCTTGGTCAAAACCATGACAAACAAAGCATGATCATTGATCATTCAAGAGTATAATAATTTTGCTATTGCTCAAATCACTAGGTGGAGAAGAGAACCATAAAAAAAACATGGGGAACCGTTGCTTAGTGCTTATTTTCTGTCACTTCGTCCATGTCCATGCATGCTATGATTGTTTGTTGAGAAAAGCTCTGTTAAAGTTGGGAGTATGAGCTTCAATTTGGTAATAGTAACGAGGAGATCATGACTACTTTGTTATTATTATTTTTTTATGTAATCATGGCTTCTTCAACATGGGGCTTCGTGATTCACATTGCTTTTTCTTCCCTTTTCGTTGTAATGGAATCCACTGGTGACACAATGTCTTGAAATTAGAGAAAAAACATGCATGAGCCTCTTTTAGCATGGAGGGCAACCGATCTTGGTTTTGGTCCATAGATGTTCCATGGTTAGTGAATCTGGTGTGGGCTGCTAGATGATGCTTTTTTTTTTCTTTTTTAATTATTGGCACTTGATGCTTTATTTAAAGTGCTTGATTAACATGGCACAGCAAAATTTTAAAGGTCTCGGCCACATAATACCCAGAGCAATTTTAAAATCATAAATCAGAGTCTAGACATTTGTCTTGGCCACCACTCTAGGCATGAAGACAAGCAAAATGTTATGATTTCCCTGCTACATAATCATAACAATAATCTCAAATGTCATAGCCGACAATTGATTGCAGCTGAATTGAACAATGCAACATGAATTGAAAACAGAAAGAAGCCAAAAAGTTGCATGTTGCATTTCAATGTACAAAGTACTCACAAACTAAGTTTTTTGCTGCAGCAAACTGAGGGAGACTGAATTGAAGGTTCACAGAAAACCCAAATAACTGATTCTTCATGTTGTTGTCATCCTAGGTTCAGACCCTATATTAGCAAATTGAATATGAAGTTGATCATCATTGTTAAAAAGACAAATGGCAAACAGCTTCTTCATATGGTCTTGTTTGTTGGAGAAATAGGGTAGAAAATCTGCAAATGGCTTCAAGACGTGCTGCAAATGCCACTTTCCTTTAAGCTAATTTTGCCCCCATCAAATCTGGTATGCAAAAGGAGTAACTTGAAATGCCCATAGGATACAATGAAGCACCTTGTTGATCTTGCCATTGCACTAGCAAGATTAACCACTAAACCGTCCTTTGGAAAGCGACAAAACAATAGTTTTTGTACAGGGATTTCTACAACAATTGAAATACAAAAAGGGGCTGTTTTATTTACATAATATTAGGGGTTTGTTTATGGGTTCAAAAGGCTCTTCAAAAGAAGAAGAGATAACTCCATATTTATAGGGCGAGATGTCTATTGGAACAGACACTTCTTTTCAATTTTTATCCATTGGAAACTCTTCCAAAAGTCATTTGGTTTGATTTGAATTCCAACTTATGTGTTTCTTTGACTTCCAAAGTCATCCACTTTCTTCAAAAACTTATCATAATTTTATATCTGATTTCTTATGTAACAGGTTCGAACCACATTTATATGGTTCGAACCAAAATCGTAACTTTTCGGATTTTGGTTTTACGTAAATGGTTCGAATCATAATTATATGGTTCGAACCAAAGTTACACTTTCTCAAATGCATTATGTGCAATTGTTTCAAACCAACTTTTTGTGATTTGAACCCAAATCCTGGAAATATTTTGAAAATTCTTCAATACTATTTCGAGGCCTTAATCTTCTAGCAATACTGCCCAGGTTAGTTCCAGAACTCATGTGCTTCAGACTTTCCCCCTACTTCCTTTCCTAATGAGGTATTGTTAATAGCCTTATCATCTGATGTATTCTTGTTCATCCCTGACAACACTTTCATGTCATTGTTTGTGCCTTCTGTCCATCTTCGCCTTAACCTTCTTTCAGCAATACTATCTGCATAGATACAGTAACCAAAGCAAGTCTCTTCTTCAGCTTTGAACTACTCTCAGTTCCAATATTGCTTTCACCATGTTGACTATCTCCATGAAGCATTTACTTCTCCTTTCCTGATTCATTTTCTGACAACTGCTCATTATGGTCTTTACCTTCCTAACGCCTTTGCCTTAACCTTCCACCAAAACTGTCTACACAAGGTTCAGCAATTGGAGTAAGTCTCCTCTTAAGCTTTAAAGTATTCTCAGTTCCAATACTTCTTTCACCATGTTGGTTATCTCCATGAATCAATTCCTCTTTTTCCAATTCATTTTCTGAAAACATGATGTTTAAAGCCTGCACATTATGGTCTTTGACTTCTTTACACCTTTGCTTTAACCTTCCAACAATACTGTCGGTAGTAGACTCAATAGCAAGAGGTCTCTTCTTAAGCTTTGAATGACTATCTGATCTAATATTGCTTTCACCATGTTTGTTATATGAATGAAGTACTTCCTTCACTTCCTTTTCTTTTCTTCCAGTGGAAATGTATTGTTGATAGCCTATATGGTATCAAGACCTTTCATAGTCATCCCTGTTACCTCATCACTTTGGAAATCATATTTTCCATCAAAGCTTGGTTCCAATGCCATATTCCTACAATCATGTTCTTTGAGTGATAATTGAGACTACTCATGTTCACCTTTAAATTCGTAATTTTTCTTATCTTCAAAATCAAGCTCTGTAAAACCTAGATGACCATTGGCCTTGAGTTCAATCTTTTCAAATTTTGCATCTTTGGATTCTTGTTCAAGATTTAATTTCTTTACAAAAATATGAGGGATAGCAATATTAAGGAAACACATAACACTGCAGCATCAATCATGGCTCAATTACACTCAAGGAATGTTAAGTCCTTATTTCTCTCACAATCAATTCTTGCCAATCATATATTCTGCATTAATAAGGATTATGCACATTATGTATATTTCTATTTCTACTAGTTCTTTCCATATGAGTTAATTAAGGCAACATCTCAATTTGTATATATATATCTATATATATATGCAATCTCAGTGAGTAATATATATCTTATACTCTCAGCCTATTCTTTCATCCTATTAGTGGTATCAGAGCTCTCTCTCAAATGAGCACTACTGATGGCCAGTGAATCCTCTACAACTATCACCTCTCCTCCCATTTCCACCAATGCCGCCATTCCCATTGGACAAAATACCATCATCACCTTCAACGCTGCCGCTCACTTTCCTCTCAAACTCACTCCCAGCAACTATTTCTCTTGGTAGGCACAATTTCTATTTATCCTTATTATCTACAAATTAACTGGCTTCTTCAATGGATCCAAACCTTGCCCATCAACACCAACCGAAAAGGCTTCTAACTCACCTTTTGAACTTTAGATTCGCTAGGATCAATCAATCTGACATGCTATCCTCACGTTAAGTTTAGAACCGATTGCTCCTTATATATCTACTGCCAAGACCTCATAGCAGGCTTGGAAAATCTTAGCCAATCTCTATGCTAATCACTCAAGATCCAAAGTTTTTACACTCAAGGCATGGCTCCAAAACACTTGTCGTGATGGTCGCACTGTTACCGAATTTCTTCATCAACTCAAGGTGCTTGCGGATGAACCCGCTGCCATAGATAAATCTCTTACCAACTATGATCTGATGGTCTATGTACTTAATGGGATAGGACCTAAATTCTGTGAGATCTCTACTTCACTGCATGCTCGAGACGAGCCACTTTCATTTGAAGAACTTCATGATAGACTAGTTGCACATGAAGTAAGCATGCACAGGGAAGAAGCTCGAACTGAAAATACACCAATGACTACCCATTTTGCTGCCATGCCCACTAGAAGACTTGCTAGTAATAATTCTAATTTCTCCACAAATTCTTCTTCTTTTCAGTCCAATTGTGCAGGAATTCTACCACTGCCACAAAACATGTAGCCATTTGGACCAGGACAATAATTGGCAGGAGGAAGAAATGGGCGCAATTGACCAAATCAATTTCACAAAAAAAAGAGGAGGCCCAAATCGACCCAACACTAACAGCCCCAACATATCTTGCCAAGTTTGCAACAATTTTGGGCACACTGCTCATTCATGTTCCTTGTTTTGAAATCAAGGACCCACAGCACACTATGCAACTTCTACCAGTCCGAATACCAATGGGTGGTTGATTGATTCGGGTGCGAATAATCATATCACCAACCATTTGGACCAGGACAACAATTGGCAGGAGGAAGAACTGGGCGCAATAGACCAAATCGATTTCACAAAAAAAGAGGAGGCCCAAATCGGCCCAACACTAGTAGGCCCAATATATCTTGCTAGGTTTGCAACAATTTTGGCCACACTGCTCGTTCATGTTCCCTGTTTCGAAATCAAGGACCTTTAGCACACTATGCAGCCTCTACCAGTCTGATACCAATGGGTGGTTGATTGATTTTGGTGTGAATAATCATATCACCACTAATCTGTCTAACTTGGCACTACATTCAGAATATAATGGTCCTGATGAATTATTAATTGGAGATGGCTCAGGTTTGAAAATCACTCATGTTGGTCATACAGCTATCACAACACCCACCTCATCTATTCCTTTATATAATGTTTTGTGTGTACCTACAGCCTCTTGCAATTTAATTTTCGTCTCTCAATTATGCAAAACTACCAATTCCATTGTTGAATTTCATCCTAATTTTTTTTTGTTGAGGGTTGGCACCCCGGGGTTGTTTTCTTTGGGAGGGCCTATTCACCTTGGGTTTTTTCAGTTTCTTCCATTGGCCCCACTAAACAAATGCCCATGGCATATCTTGGGGAGAAGACATCGACAATAAATTGGCATGCAAGGTTGAGACATCCATCATCTAAAATATTCAAAAAAATTCTCAATGTTATTGATTTGCCATTAATAAATAAATCCGATGATTTTTACTATGATTCTTGTTCTTGTTCTAAAAGCCACAAACTCCCATTCTCCAAATCCTCCATTACTAGTCAAGCTCCTCTTGAATATATTTTTTCTGACATTTGGGGTCCTGCACCTACCATGTCTATTGATGGGAATAGATTTTTTGTTATTTTTGTGGATCTATATAGTCGATATGTTTGGCTATATTCAAACAAAAAAAAAAATCAGATGTCTCCATCATTTTCCCCAAATTTAAGTCCTTAGTTGAAAATCAATTTGGGCGTAAAATACTTAATTTTTATTCTGATGGGGGTGGGGAATACGTGCTCTTCGAATTTATTTTCAACAACATGGTGTCTCTCATTTTACCACTCCACCTTACACTCCAAAAATGAATGGCGTTTGTGAAAGACGTAATAGATCCATTATTGAGACTGGTCTAGCCTTATTGCACTATGGCTCCCTACCCACTCAATTCTAGTCTCATGCTTTTTAAACTGCAATTTACTTACTTAATCGATTACCTACCCCTGTCTTGTCCTTTATTTCTCTCCATTCCAAAAACTATTCTCGATTTCCCCAAATTATTTAAAGCTCAAAACTTTTGGGTGTGCCTGTTATCCATGGCTGCATCCCTATACCCAAAATAAACTCCAAACCAGATCCCGGCAGTGTATCTTTATTAGGTACTCTGTTGATCACCTAGACTACAAGTTCTTTAATCCTCACACTAATAAAATATTCATTTCAAGGCATGTTATTTTCCATGAAAAGCAATTTCTTTTCGAGACTCTACTATTCAATCAACCCCTCCAAATCACCTTTCTCCTGTTCTCACCCATACTCAATCAATTTTTTCTTTAATCCCTCCATAGCCATCTCCTCCGGCACCAACCCCCGGCCTCTCCTCTGCCTCTCCCCCAACCTTGCCATCGCCCGTGCCATCCGTTGTTGCCGCCTCTCCTTTACCAGACTCTGTCATCCTAACTTCATAGGTTGTATCGCCCCCCTCTGCTTGTGGCTCAGATTTGGTTTGCTTTCCCTCCTACTTAGGTAAATCTCATCCTTTCTCTATCTCAGCACCCCCTCCCCTTTCCCCATCCCCTACCTCTTCCTCTCCATCACCGAGGCCTACCCTATCCTCCCCAATGATCGAATCTCCTCCACCTAGGTTAGCACCGACCTCCCCTTCACCCCCTGCCCATCACCCACCAAACTCACCCCATGATCAGCCGGTCCTTAAATAATATATTTAAGCCCAAACAGATGCACCTTGCCACTAAACACCCTCTCCTCGCCACCATTAAGCCATCATGCGTGAGTCAAGCCTTGAGTCACCCCAAATGGCGAAGGGCTATGTCGGATGAGTTTGATGCCTTGGTTCAACAAGGAACTTGAGATTTAGTTTCGCCATCTCCGCATCAAAATGTTTTCAGGAGCAAATGGGTGTTCCGGTTAAAGAGAGGTAAAAATGGTGAAATTGAGCACTATAAGGTGCGGTTGGTGGCCAAAGGATTTCATCAACGTCCTGGTCATGACTATTCCAACACTTTCAGTCTTGTTATCAAACCCACCAACATTCACACTGTGTTTACTATTGCTGTGACTTGTGAGTCAAGCTTGGTCAATCTGGTAACTAGACGTAAATAATGCCTTTGTTCATGGCTCTATTGAGGAAGGCTTGTACATGGCTCAACCGACAGGTTTTATTGATCAAACTCTTCCCCATCATGTTTATAAACTAAAGAAAGCAATCTATGGTCTTAAGCAGGTGCCAAGGGCATGGTACACTGAATTGAAAAAGTTTCTTCTTGCTTGTGGTATAGTTAATTCTCGATCGAACTATTCTTTATTCATTTATAACCATGCTGGAATTATTATCTATGTGTTAGTCTATGTTGATGATATATTGATTACTAAGAACAGTGTTGCTTTTATCTCGGATTTGATCCATAGGTTGGGACAGAAATTCTCACTAAAGGATCTTGGTGAACTCAGTCTATTTTTGGGCGTAGAGGCAATTAAAACTTTTGCTGGTTTATTTCTTTCATAGCATAGATATATTAATGACCTCTTGCAGAAGCATAAAATGGATGGTGCCAAACCGGTTGCAACACCCATGTCCTCTTCAGGGTTGTCTCATCACACAAGTTCTCCACCTCTTTCCAATGGCACAGATTACTGGAGATTAGTTGGCTCCTTACAATGCCTGTCATTAACTCGTCTTGACATTTCATTTGCTGTCAATAAGTTGTCTCTGTACACGCACTGTCCCACTGAGATGCACTGGCAAGTCGTCAAACGTATCTTACGCTATCTAAAGCATACTATGTGCCATGTACTACTGATACGGCCCACTTCTTCTCTTGTTCCTCATGCTTTTAGTGATTCTGACTGGGCCGGAGACAAGGATACTTGTGTCTCCACTATTGGTTATATTGTCTTTCTTGGTGCCACACCTATCTCCTGGAAGGCTAGCAAACAAAAAGTCGTTGCTCAAAGTTCAACCAAGGCAAAGTACCGGGCTTTGGCAACTGCTTCTTTTGGGTTAGTTTGGGTACTGCATTTGTTGACTGAACTTGGCTTTCCTATAGGTGCTCTACCAGTACTCTACTGTGATAATGTTGGCACCACATATCTCAGTAGTAATCTAGTCATGCATTCTCGCATGAAGCACATCGCAATTGATTTTCATTTTATTCGTGATCTCGTTGACAGGAAAATTCTTCGTGTCTCCCATATTGCTTCCGCCGATCAACTTGCCGATGGGTTAACTAAGCCACTGTCTTCATCCCAATTTGCCTTGCTATGTTCCAAGATTGGTGTCGCAGATGGCTCCACCATCTTGCGGAGGCATATTAAGGAAACACATAACACTGCAGCATCAATCATGGCTTAATTACACTCAAGGAATGTTAAGTCCTGATTTTTCTCACAATCAGTTCCTACCAATCATATATTCTGCATTAATAAGGATTATGCACATTATGTATATTTCTATTTCTGCTAGTTCTTTCCATGCGAGTTAATTAGGGCAACATCTCAATTTATATATATATATAATCTCAGTGAGTAATATATATCTTCTACTCTCAACCTGTTCTTTCATCCTATTACGCAGCTGGATTTTTCTCTTTCTCACTATTAAAGCCATTGTGATCTCTTTCTTCTGATTGAAGCTTTGATATTCCCAGGTGATTACTATCATCCCTATAAAGTTCCTCCGGATGGGCTTCTGCGTCTAGAAATGACAATGACCTCTTAGCAGAAACTGGATCTCTGTTCTCTGGATTCTTTTCAATATTGGTTTGTGCCCGTCTGGTTTGGATCAGATAGCGTGTAACCGACTTGAATCCCATTTGTGAAATCTGGAAGATGGACTTGAAAGTTAGCTCTAGTTTCAGCTTCAAAATGGAAAGTAAGACAACAACCTATATTCCAGTTGACAGACTGACCTTCTCGTAAAGAGCTCCAGTAGGGACCCATCCTTTGCATTTCGACACAAACTACAGTTGCAAATTCCACGGCACACAGGACAAATGGACCCTTTAATTCATTACATGAACGAAATTAGAAACATCAGCTGCGAGAAATGCAAGAAAAACTGCATCTTATTGACACTTTGCATTATGAATTAATTGCAGAGAGGTTTAACAGGAACTCTTAGCTCACGAGGGGCTAGGTTGTATAACTTGGATTGCAAGTAGGCCCAAATTTTTAAGATCAATCCAATCATCATTGTCATCCTCGGCTATGTTAATCCTGTATAAGACTATTCAGCTTCACTCTTAGAAAATCCAAAGTTAGAATTCCCCACACGATTATTATGCCATTCCCTCCGTTGGATCATCAATAATTGTATCATTGGTTAGGCTAGGATCAGTCTTTCAAGAGGATTTGTCCACGGTAAAGAAGTTCTCTGATGAAGGCGTTGGATTTGTGACCCCAGTTTTTATTGTGTGCGGTAAGGGTATAGAGCAATAAGCGTTAAGTTCCAACGCGGGATGATCTGTTGTGGAGGTCAAGGGCGCAGATCATATGGCAATGTTCTCAAAACAATATGAAGTTTGCAATCATCCTTTGGAGATTGCCAACAAGTATGCTTTGATCAGATATATACTTTCTAGGTTCTAAATTCTAATAATAAATCTTTTACATCACTAAATATGTTAATGGTGACAAAATAAATAAACGTTATTGATGTTTCCATAAAAAATAAATAAATAAATGAATAAATGTTAGTAATTTATTTTACATTTTAGCCAAATAAATTCTCTTGTGTAGTTCTTGTGAAAATTGGACAGTCAGCTTTCAACACAAAATTTGTGTTCAATCTTTTGCATTCTTCTTGTATTTGTTTTATATATATATTTTTCAATATAGGATTTATGTGTAAATATGATGTTAGATGCATTAACAATGAATGAGTTTTGCACAAATATAACTTGAACTCTAAAATTATATGAAAATGTGTTAAAATCAATTAAACAACCTAATCCACTATGGATATTATCCATTAAGCCTACAATTTTAAAATGCATTAATATGAGCTAAAAGGCACTAATTCAGATATCAAGTATCTCTCTTATTGTTTATTAATATAGAATTTGACTAAAATATCACATACACCCCCTTTAAATTCTCTGCCATGTCAATCCTGTCCAATGCGTTCCAGTTTCACTCAGAGAAAAGTCGAAGTTAGAATTCCCCACACGTTTATTATACCATTGCCGCCGTTGTATCTTTGTGGTTTGTTCATCTTTTATTCATGATTCATTAACGATTATATCCATTGTTTTTCTGAACC